GTGTTTGGGTCGTCAACGGCGTTAATTTCCACCATTAAGTGACACATGTCACAATCTGGTGATTTTGATTTTTTTTAAATATTAAAAATATTATGATATTTATAAAAAAACACTAATTTTTCTTATATTATAAAACAACCTCAAAATCCCAAATCCTAAACTTAATCCGCCGCCACCGCCCTTTCTGGCCAAGACCATCGCCACCTCCATAGTCCCTACCATTCTCCAACTCATACGTCGTCGTAGTTTCCGTCGATTGACCGTCGAGATCGCATGGGTTCACGATTTTCATCCTAGGGTTCGTGGGGTATAAAATGTTGATTCGTCGTCAATTGGTCAGGATTTCAACGTGGTTTTGGTCGTCGGGGAGAGAGAAGGTCGGGTGGAGCTTCGTCGACGGAAAAAGGCGATGACCAACATGGGTTTAGGGGTTAAAATGGATGTTTTCAAAGTTTTGGGTTTATTTCAAAATTTGTGTAATATATATATATAAATATTAATTTTTATTTTTATATAAAATTTTTAAAATTATCAGGTTGTGACACGTGTCACTTAATGGAGTAATTAACACCGTTGACGGCCCAGGTACCTAAATGAGTAACGTTTGTAACGTTAGGCACCGAAATGAGTCAAAAAATAGCTTAGGCCTATTAGGGAAAAGAGTATAGTTTAGGGACTTATTTTGGTATTAAGCCTCTACAAAATTGCACATACTATGTTCCACTAAACGAACCAATCTTTTGATGCTTTGCTTTAGATATATTTGGTCGTTGAAACTTGTGCTTAAAGCAATTAAAAAAAATATGGGCTTGAAATTCCAACTATCAATCACAAAAGAAAGAGTAAAACCAAAAAAGAACAAAGGGGGGAGATGGTGAAGGATAGTGACAATCATCAAATAGCCGGCTTTATTGCACTCGTTGAATTCTTTGGTTTTCGGGTTTCAAGTCTCCATTAAACAACTTCAACCTGCACATCCTCAAATTCTTATAGTATTACTAGAAACAGGGGTTTTAAATTACAAAGGAAACTTAATTTTAACTGGTAAATAAACGTAAACCAAAACAAACCTACACGAAATAAGATTGAAGCTGAAGATGAGATAATTTTTATTCTCAAACAGAAAATTTGTGATTATTTAATAAAATTGGTTGCTATAACTTACCTAATCATTTCTTTGTCAACAAGTATATAGCCAGATAATGACTTACGCCACCACGTTCTTTTCACTAATATTCAACTGAAAAGAATTAATCATTTATCACTACTCTTGCTTCCATGACACAATATTAGACCAAATTCATGCCATGAGCTTCAAGGAAACAGCAAACAAAATGAAGCCATCTTCCTTTTCCATTCCCTTCTTCTTCCTTGCCCTACAGGCCTTATCAGTCTTACAGGTTAATTCGCAAGAGACGGATTCATGCAATTCCAACCTAACCTTAATCTACCCTTTGATACTTCTCTCACTGCCTTTCTGTCTGGACCAGATATGATTTCATCCTCAGAGTAAGTTGAAATCTTCGTTGTGCTTTTGTCATATAATTGGAAGAGTTGATTACTTGTGGTATTAAACGTTTGAATTCTTCCGTTGTGCAGCACGTCCAGGCCTCGTCCAACGTTTGGAGCTTCGTTCTATCGGTGCCCGTTTCGAATTCCTTCATCGGAATGGGGTTTTCGAGCGACGGGCGTATGGTGGGATCAAGCGCCGTGGTTGGTTGGATTTCAGCCGACGGCACCGGGACATGAAACAGTACTTCCTAGGAGGGCAGCGACCGAATTTAGTGATCCCTGATGAAGGGAACCTGACGATCGTCGATAATTCTACGTCCATAACTTCACAATCGTCGCGTATATACATGGCGTTCCGTTGAGCAGCAGTAAACCGCGGTCACGGGTGCTGTACTCCGTCGGGCAGATCGGAGTGATCCCATCGTCGCCGGCTTTGCTTTGGCTGAACACCGTGACAAAGTCTCCACTCGCTTGAATTATGTTACAGGTAAATGGACTTATCCTATTTTTCTAATTCCTGGTTTATTTCATCAAAAAAATAATTCCTGGTTTAGTTTTTTTTTATTTTAAATATATCACATAAAAAGATTTAAATAAGTAAATTAATTTATTTAATAAATAAATTGGATAAGGAGAGAATAACAGGAGGAGAGATAGAACGTTACGGAATAATTTGAAATTTATTTATTTTATAATTTTTATTTGATAATAATTATATATATACAGATAGATTGCTTCCATTTCGAAAATTTGGCTGACAACAAATCGACAAAATGACTTAATTCCGTCTAACTTTGGAAGTTTCACAATTAAATAAGACTGCACGATTTTAAATATCATAGACCAATTAAATATTATAAAAATTAAAAATCTAAGATATTATGTGCACTATAAATTATTCAATACATTAAAAAGTTAACGTCATGATAGTGTTTAGAATCAGTCGATCAGTTCATTATTTATTTTCAAATTTTAAATATACTTAGAGATATATTTAATCTTTTGAACACGATGGTAAAATTGTTATTTTTCTTAATAATAACTCATGTTGGAATAGCCTTTTCTTGAACAACAATAACAATATTAATCTATAAATTCTAAATCTTAAATCATAAATTTATAACTTTAAATAAGATAAATAACATCATCAATACAATTTCGTTTGTAATTTTGACGCCTAAAATAATTTATATAAATTGAATGAAATTAGAGGGAGACAGACAAATAGGCTACCAAAACTCATTGCCAAAATCAGTTTATTGCTTGTTTATTAGGTTATTGACCAAGGAAAATTATCTATTATTTGCATACCTTTCAAACATATTTTGAATCGTATAATTGAAGAAATTCATTTTTTTCTCCCAAGTGGGGGAGTTGGTGTACCCTCAACATATTAGATCTAAATAATTAAAATAATATTGCATAAAATTATCGATGTCTTAAATATAAATTATATATAAATATAAAAACAATGGTTGTTTTTGGGGATGAAATTGTTTGATGAATTTCAAGGAATGCAATGAAACAGGTACAACGAGTGCAACAAGCAGCCCGCATCGGAGGCTGAGGAAGAGCCACGGGATACTAAATATGGTGAGTTGGGGTATACTGGTGTTAATCGGAGCAATAGTTGGTCGTTACTTGAGGCAATGGGATCCCCTCTGGTTTTATGCTCACTCACTCATTCAGACCGTCGCCTTCCTCCTCGGCATCTCCGGTATCATTGCCGGATTCGTTTTGGAAGACCGTCTCGGTGTCGATGTCGACACCCACAAAGCTCTAGGCATCACCATTCTTGTGCTGGGATGCCTCCAGGTAATGGCGGTATTTGCAAGACCAGGTAAGGAGTCGAAGGTGCGCAAATACTGGAATTGGTACCATCACACGGGGTAGGATTCTTATGGGATTTGCCATAGCGAACGTGTTCTATGGGATTCATCTGGGAGACGAAGGTACAGCATGGAATGCTAGCTACGCTGTTGTTATTTCTGTCTTGTTTTTAGTTTCTCTTGTCTTAGAGTTTAATTTGTGGAGGAAAAATTGATATTTTGTATTTGTAATTAACTTCACCTCTGGTACTCTTTCATATTATTGTTGCTTTTATGAGTTTACGTATTATTTAATTAATGTATTTCTTATTACTAATTCCCTCCATTTCTAGTACAAAATAGAATAATTTTCTAGGTCCATCCCTGATTTTAATATTTTCAAAATTTTTAATGATAATCTAAAAAATAAGAAAAATAAAAGTATTAAAAATTCTAAAAGAAATGTGACAAATTTTAGAAAATTCTCCTAATTTGTAACCCCATCCGATTAGTGGTTTGTCTATATTAGAAGTGAATCGTAAATTATCAATTTGGTCACCTCATTTTAACACTTAACTGACATAAACCATTATGTCATATACGTTGTTAATCAATATTGGTGCAATAAGTGTCGACCAATTTACATACTAAAAAATCAATTATGACACGAAAACCCAAAAACATGTAAACTGCCCCAAACTCAAAGCTGAAAATAAATCAGAATCAAGCAAACATCCTTCAACCCTGGTGGAGCGCCGAACAGGAATATAAAAGAAAGATGTTGCACCACCTTACTACATACACGTAATTCCTAAAAACAGTAGACTTAAAAGGGAAAATTTTGCTACATTATAATTTAGGGTAAGTACATAAATGATCCTCCGACTATAGGATGTTGCTTTGTTGAGTCCCTCAACTATTAAAAGTTACAAAATGATCTCACGACTATAGTGTTGCTTACTGAGTCCATCGCTATAAAAAGTTACAAAATTGTCACTCGAGTATTCGTATGTTCCAAACTTGTCTTTTTCCATTAAAAATTTAAGCTAGACGTTAACTTACTGACTAGGATGTGATAAAATCTGATCCTAGAATCTTAAACGACTATCATATCCCAGTCAACATGTTAAGGTCTAGCTCAGACTACCATCAATTTTTTAATGAAAAGGCCTCGTTTGAAATATGAATAGTTAGGTGACCATTTGTAACTTTTAATAGCCGAGTAAGTCAACAAAATAACACCCTATAGTCGAAGAGCTATTTTGTAACTTTTAATGATTGAGGGACTATTTGTGTACTTACCCTATAATTTATAGAAACTTAGAAAAACATTTTAAATTTGAAACAAAAAGACTTGATCGTCAGTTTTATTCATCCCTGAGTTGAGAATTCCCACCTCGACACGAAATAGGTCTTCGTAACCCTGAATCATGATTTCATCATATGGAATGACAGAGGAAGGATGTTGTTCGCCAGCACCTCGTTTACCTTCAACGGAAGCGGAGGGATTGTTTCATTACCTCTGCCAAGTCATTTAAGCTGCCAAAACAAAGCTTACCAACATGAAACAAAGCAAAATATGGTATATCGTATAAGTACAATTACAATGCCTACCAATTAACATTGAAAATCTAATTCAGACACATAACAGAGAAAGCATGGAGGCAACGACGTACACATTCAGATTGTGAGGATATTACGCCGGGCTTTGCATAACAGACCTATATTATCATGTATCTGCATAGGAAAAAAATTAATAAGAAAGAAAAATCAGAATTAACAACTCGAAACAATGCAGGCAGATGTGCATGTGCACGCATTTATTGAGGAAAATATATAAATTAAGATGGTATATTTCACCTGGGAAGCTGAAAAATTTGCTGAAATTTGACTAAACATTTGAGCATTCTGATCAAGCAGCTCTCCTGTCACACCTAGATGCAAATCTATGAACTGCATCAATAAGAGGGATGAGGAAGTTTTTAATAGGAGGGTTAAGCAGTCAACTACCTGAGCTTAACAACAATAGGCCAGAGCCTGGAGTAGAAACACCTAATACCATCCAGGATATCTAAGACAACCCAGACATTTAGTGTGGCTACTCATGCAAGTTTAGTGTTGAACATGTTAGGAAGTAGCCCTTGTCTGAGATGGGGCATATTTCACTTTCAACCACATGTAGTTTTGTGTAACTTTAGGCTTAATGTATCTCATAATAAATTATACAAACACCTTATAGACACAGTACATAATCCCATTACTGTGGTACATATATGCCCTGCTTATGTTACCTCAACTTATTATGTATTTACTCTCATGCTTCTTGAGAAGCACCCTGTTTCAAGAATTTCAGTATGCAAATGTATTTCAAGCAACTTTCTGCTCAAGAATGCCAAAACATACCATATTCGATCATTGGTAAAAATGCTAGGACCATAATTAAAAACCAGAGAGAATTCATTGAGAGAACCAAAAACTGCTAAAGTTGCCACAAAGCAAGACAATTTCTTTCAAGAAAGAATAACAGGGATTGAATTTCCATCTGTTGTTATACTTTCAAAGGACCGATTGTGAAAAGTGAAGCAGTGTAAAATTACCTTGCACGGATTAAATATACTAGCATACAAATTTAGACAAAAGTACCCTATTGTTTTTTATTTTCCTAGCTGAGCCATGATCCCCTTTCCTTCGTTTGCCATTTTCCTTCTGCAAACAGATTCAAAGCATCCAAAAACAGTGCTCATTCATAATTTCATATGCATGTTTATTATACAAATAGATGCTTTGGAGGACAACTTCAGGTGTTATCACGAAATCCTTTAAGCTTGGACCCAAAGCTTCAGCAAAATACAATTTGAATTGAACAACTTACAGTCATCCATCTGCAACGTAGCGCCACATCCCGAACTGTTTTGTCCTTCAACTTCATCGCTACCTTAGCATAGCGAACTATGATTGAATCAGATGCACACCTGCATATTAACTATGTTTGAATAAAACGCAAGTTTACAAGTTACAGAGAAGTAGCAGAAATGAAAGAAAATAAACGATAAAGAAGTTTAGAATTAAAGTGAGAAAGGGAGTTACTTGGTGAGTACATCTCGAGAGTCAATTGTTCGTCAGGAGTCCAATTCACGGAAATTTCAGGGTTGTGTCTCAACGCGGACGGCGTATCAACCAAGACGGCGTTGCCTTCGCTATTTTTCGAATTGACGGAAACGCCATTGGTTGTTGTAGAAGGAGTCGTTGTCTTCTGGTTCAATAAACCTTCCTGATTATTTCCGGTCTGATTCGCCATTAATCAAAAACATTATATATATATATATATATATATATATAATGTATCTCAAGTGATATAAATAATGAGGAAGGGGATGAATTATTTGAAAAGAGAAAATAAATTAGAAGCGATGGACATCCATTTGACTGAATGTCGTTCTATTTCATTATTTTTTGCCCTTTTCATTTTCCATTTGAGTGACAGAATATTTTTTCCCTCCTTTTTAAAATATCTAAGATGCTTCTTTTACTGTAATTTTATTTTGGTTTAATATAAAAATAAGTACATAAACAATACTTAAAATTAACTTTTGGTGTTCAAAGAATTTTCACTTAAAATAATTGTCTAAACTTTTCTCTGTAAACATAAAAATATAATGAAAAAAAATTAAACATATATTTTTAAAGAAAAATTCTTTTAACACCAAAATATTTTTCGAGATATTCTTTAAACACTTATTTTTTTTATTAATCCTTTTATTTTTAATTTTACACACACGCACTGGCTGGCAACTAGAGTTGCTCGAACCAGGCTATTTCAAGGGTAAAACCATTTTCTTTTCCTCACAAATATGTGAAGAATTAAATCAATCTGATCGAAAACATTTAGTCTATAAAGCATTTTGTCTTTAAACCAACTTGGAAACAAGGAATTCATGTTGCTGCACTCCTAAAGCATTTGTCATTGTGTTTGCTATCTGATCTCCTAAACTTATGTACTCTGTATGTATAACACATTCTGGCACTTTTTCTCGAACCAAAAGGCAGCCTATGTCAATGTATTTTATCCTTTCATGGAATACCGGATTAACAACTATTTGGAGTGCTGTCTTGCTGTCACAATACAAACAAACAAGCCTTGGTCTTTTACTCTAAGCTCTTTAACAAACCATTCAATCAAACTATTTCTGCAGCTGCATGACCATGCTCTTATATTATACTTCAACTGATGATCTTGCTACAGTACTATTCTTTTTGGCTTCCAGAGACTAAAGAATCCCAAGCTTGATGCAAAATCATGTTATAGATTTTCTGGTCATGGGTAGGGTTGTTCATTCGGTTAATTCGGTGGCCGACCGACCGAACTACTATTAACCAAATTAACCGAACTTTTTTTCTTTAACCGTTAACCGAACCGAATAAATTTCGGTTAATTCGGTTAATTTTCGAATTAACCGAAATTTTTAAAATTTTCTAATTTATTTAAAAATTAAATATTTATAATTAAAAAATACATTTTATAATTAATTAAATAATATATAATTTAAAAATAAAATTTATATAAATTTTTTAATTAATTAATATTGATTTAGGTTTAAAAAGTTTTAGATCTTAAATTATTAATTGGGTTTTAAATGGTTTGGGTTTGAAATCATTATATATATATATTTAATATTTTTAATTCAGAAAAATAATTTACAATTAATTTAAATAATATATAATTATAAAATATAAATTTTATATAATTTTTTAATTAATAATATTGATTTAGGTTTAAAAGTTATTGGATCTTAAATTATTAATTGAGTTTAAATGGTTTGGGTTGAGCCATATGTTATAAAAATATATTTAATATTTAAAATTTATTTTGGTTAATTCGGTTAATTAACCGATTTCGAACCGAATTAACCGTAACCGATATCTAAAAAAACCTTAAACGTTCCCCGACCGAAACTAATTCGGTGGCGGCCGAATTAACTAAATTAGTTCGGTTCGGTCGGTTAATTCGGTTAAAACTGAATTTTGAACACCCCTAGTCATGGGGCATGATGCCAGTCAGAATCACATAACACATGAGTTGCGTTTCTGTTGGGCTTGATGAATCTCATTCAATCAACGAAATATGCCAAGAGGGAGTGAATTGGTTTTTTGAAGTTTAGGGAGTAAGGAGTATAAAGATAGGAAAATTTGTACAATGATTTATAGTGGTCAACTCCCTAAATTAAGTCTACGTCTACTACTTAAGCTTCTCACTTAGGATTTTCCAACAAATCCACTAATTTATTCTTTCTTTTCAAGGATAAAGAGATAACATTTACAAACTCCCTAGCTTTTCAAAGACTAGCTACAACCAAAACCACTTTATAAAGGAAATAATTGTAAAAAAAAAACTCTAAAAAGGAAGGTGTTTACAAATTAAAGCTCACAAAACACAAATATTTATAAGAGAAAGAGAAATAAAGAATGAAAAGCTTTCTCTTGTGTTTAATTGCTGGATAGGTGTTGGTCATTCTTCAAGTGTCTTGAACTTGTTTTGGGTATGTTGGAATGAGTTACTAGCCGTGTCTAGCCGTTTGGGAAGGTTGGAGCCATTGGAAGACTTTATGCACACAAATTTTTGAAACTATGTGAAAGCTTCGAAACTCTTCAAAAGATCCGTCGAAAAAATCCATTGGAGCCAAAGTATCAAAACTTTAGGGAAAGTTTTGAAACTCTTGAGATAGTTTCGAAACTCTTGAAAAGTAACGAAACTTTTTGGGAAATATCTTGGTAAGTTTCAAAACTCTTGTAGAAGTTTCAAACTTCTGGTTAAAATACTCATTTTAAGGTTTTGATTGGACTTTAAATTATTTTGAAAACTTTGAATAAATTCAATTTTGTCCAACAAATATTTTTCCCTTATTGTTATATCAAAAATAAGTTCTATAATCTCCCATTGTTATATAACAAAACTTTGAAAATAGTTTTTGACAAAAAGCTCCCCCATATAAAAATATTTAATGAAAAAGAGATTATTAGGAAAATATTAATCTCCCCTTTTTCATTCTTGAAATTGAATTTTTCAAACCTATACTTCTCCCCCTTTTTGTTATATCAAAAATAATTAAAACTTTTAAGTTACAAAATAACAATGGAGAGAGTAAGCAGTAATTTTAACATTAAAATCATTTGAAAAATCAAAAGTTCCCCCTCAACAAGTGCATTCCAAACAAAAATTTGACTTAAAAGCTTGACACTTAAAAGACATTGAATTTCCAAAGATGAACAAACATGTTAATAGCACATGAAATTCAATATATCCAAATCTAATATACTTTATGCAATACCAATTGTTGTATTTAAGTGCATGTGAATAGAGCTATCCAAAAATGTTATGCACTTGAAAAATTGATATCAATTGTTAGAGAGATACCATTGTAATAAATCACATGCATAAACATTTAAATTAAGGTCAAAAATTAAATATGTAAAAACAAAGCATTAAAACCAATTTTGACCAAAATTCATTATGATGAACAAACATTTATGAAAAACATTAAAACTTTAGAAAATGTTCGTCGCAACACTTTTAATATACATGAGATAGAAAATCAACACAAATCATTTAAGTTCAAAACTCAAGCATGCATACAACAAATCGGTAACCAATAATCAAAACAAAAACATTAAGCTTAGAGAGGTACCATTCCTTTTCAAGTTTGGTAGAACATTTGATATATTCACTTTCATCACCATTACTCTCACACACCTACAAGAGACTTTAATTGTATTTTGGTATCCAAATTACTTTGAATCCTTGAACGTTAGTTTCAATGGCCCTTGTTCCCTTTGGAACTCATACTTGTCTAATTTTAAAATGTTTTCATTTCTTAAAGGACAAGCATGTTCTATATGATCATGACAATGGCAATGTGATCATTTTGCCATTATGAAACTAGATGAATTATTTAAAAATATTTCTTTTCTTTTGTTAAGCATTAAAGCTTAACATTTAAATCAAAACTTTCTTTTCATATTTTTCAATTTTCATTTTGAAAGCTCTAAATCCTTTTTTAAAAATTTCATTTTGATTTTCAAAATCCATTTTTACTTTCAAAGAAACTCATTTTCAACTTTAAATTTTGAAATCATTTTCTTGTATTTGGAGTTCATGGTCTCAAACTCCAAACATAATTCATATGCATCTTGTAACTCATCAAATAATATGAATCGAATTCATTAGAGTTAGAAGATACCTTGGGCTCTTCAAGAGCCATTAAGCACACCATCTTGTTGGTTCTCTTTCTTGTTTCCATGTATCTCTTCGAGCTTATTCCAAAGCTCCTTGGCATTTGAACAAGAAGAAACTTCTTCATTGACATCAGGACCAAATTCACAAAACAACATGTGCATGACCTTAGCATTTTGTTGAGCTTTCTTCCATTCTGGGCACTTCAGTCCTTCGTCTTTCTTTGGAGAAGAGTAGTCGTTCTCAATCACCTCTCATGCATCAAGATCATTGGATTAGATTAATAGATTTATTAATTTCTTCCAATGATGGTAGTTTGGATCCATTGAGTATGGAGGCTTTTCAATCGATTGGGAGTCTTCAATATAGAACAAGCCGGAGATGGAAGCCATCTTCTCGATTGCTTCAAAAATGGATTGAGCTTCTCAAGGATCGTCTCAAGGTTGTTAAACCTTCAAATGAGTCAAACTCTGATACCAATTATTGGGTTCAATGAAGCTCATTGATCAACCAAAATATGCCAAGAGGGGGTGAATTGGCTTTTTGAAGTTTATGGAGTAAGGAGTATAAAGATAGGAAAATTTGCACATGATTATAGTGGTTCAACTCCCTCAATGAAATCTACATCCACTACCTAAGCTCATCACTTAGGATTTTCCAACAAATCTACTAATTTTTCAAGGATAAAGAGATAATATTACAAACTCTTTAGCATTTCAAAAGCTTAGATAGAGCCAAAACCCCTTTACAAAGGAAAAGAATTGTAAACAAGAAAACCTTGAAAAAAGAAGGTGTTTACAAATTAAAGCTCACAAAAACACAAATATTTACAAGAGAAAGAGAAACAAAGAATAAAAGCTTTTCTCTGTGTTTGATTGCTTGATAGGTGTTGGTCTCATTCTTCAAGTGTCTTGAACTTGTTTTTATATGTTGGAATGAGTTACTAGTCATTTTTAGCCATTGAGAAGTTTTGAAGCCGTTAGAAGACTTTCTGCAAATAAAGTTTCTAAACTATGGGAAAGTTTCAAAACTCTCGAAAGAGCCATTGGAAAAATATGATCGTGGAGCCA